GTGATCCTCCATGGTACTTGATCCAAGTTTTTGACGAGGTTCAACAACTTTGCAGGGCTATGGATGTCTCATGGCAGCATACTTGGTGGACGTCCAACGACTTCGCGGATCGGCTGACAATGGAGGGTGCTAGAAGACAGGGCGAGGCAGTTCAAACTGGGTCCACATTCTTTTTTGCTTTGGACCAGTTAACCCCTTTTATTTTTTGGGCCTTTTTTAGTTTTCCTCGTCATTGTACATCTGAAGGGGGGGCAATTTTATAAGCCCTATCCTAGCCCCTTTTTGTAAATCATACTTAGGGGGGAAATCCTATTACTGTACAGGGGTTTTCAATCTTTTTTATCGGGAGTCCCGTCTAGAGGGTTCTCTCGAAGAAACAATACATTGTAATTTCCTTTCTCAGCAATACAAATGTTAACATTATAAAAAAAAAAAAACTCGATTTAAGATTTAAATATAGATATAAAAACATAAGAAACTTGATATGAGTTTAAAATGAATGTATAAGATTAAGATGTTACTATTTTAGTTTTACAGTAAGACTTAACTCATTAAGATATCGTATAATTAAGAATTTAAGAATTAAGGTATATGATATGATATCATTAAGATGTTAGTTTCAAAACAGCATGACTTAATATTACGTTACAATAAGACTTACATGAATGTATAAGAACTTAGTTTCATTTTCACATAAGACTTCACGCTTTCAGATATTACATAACCAATTATTTATCAAATAAAGTGCAATCAAAACAATAGAATATCAAAACATGAGACATTGTGCAAAAAATGAATCAACTATTCATAGAAGAATATGATATATGCTCAATTTCATCATCCAAATGAGAAAAAATTAAATTAATCACAAAAAAATCCATCACTTAACTACAAATATGTAAGTCTATCGTAAAAAAAAATGTAAACGAAAAAACATATGATACATAATATATTGACTTAAAATAAAATTGAAACCCTCTTTCAAATATGATAATGCTTTAAAAATATCAAAATCAAATCGATATCGGTATAAACCTCATCTATTGGATCGCCAAAAGTCCTCAAAATCAACTACTAGAAGCTCCAAATCCACCCATGAACTATTGCCTTTGTTTTGGGAAGAAATTGAAAGAACAAAAAATTTATTGATCTTTTGATAAATCACAAAATAGTGGCTTTTGGGGAGTTTTTCTCATGCTAAAAGCCATGGTTTTTGTTTTGGGGGTTTAGAATATCCCCCAAAACCTTTTTCCCTCCTTTTAGGGGGGGAAATTACATTTTTTGACCCCTCGCCGAGACCCATTTCCGCTAATTTCCCAAGCTGTCACAAGGCAGCACCTAAGATGTAGTGCCTAGGCAGCACCTTGCCTGCCTAGGCGGGTGCCTAGACACAGGACGCCTTATGGTCCCTCCTAGTAAGTGCCTAGTCGTTTTTTGAATTTTTTCGCCTATACGACCACTTAGGCGGTCGGGCGGGCGAATTTTCGAACATTGGTTATAGTTCTTTATAATATATTGGACTGCGATTGGCTAACCAAGGGGTTGATTCTGCTTCAGATTCTCGCTCATCCGTTCTAGGGAAGAAATCTCATTCTGCAATTTTAAAATTTTGGAATCTTAATACTTCCCATTAGGGATCGAGATCCTGAGGCACACAAATCCAGGTTCCCCAGCATCATATCTTAAACTGAATCGAGGTTCCGCCATTGTGGGATTGAGATACCATTGAGATGCAACCCCGAATCATAACCAAATGTATCGAGTTCAATACTTGGAATTGAACCTGACAACTATTACTACTTCGAGTCTTCGATGAGGAAAGGGTGGTTTCATCGGCATGGCTATGTGATGGCTATTGTGCACAAAATTGCCGTGGCTATGCAACTACAATTTAATAAACATTAATAAACAACTCTTTCTTTTATGTATATATAATTTGGGCTTCATCTTAATATGTATTTTAGTAGTTACTTATTCAAGAAATAAGGACAAGCAGGATTGTTGCTAATTTACATTAAGTAAACTACACTTCTAGAAATGTAAAAAATAAAAATAAAACATAAATAAATTATTTTTTAAAAAACCTTTTATAAAATATGAATTTCGTGAAAAATTATTGCTTAACTCATCATCATCGTCCAAGCCTTTTCCCAACTATTTGGGATCGGCTACACGAATCGTGCTCCGCCATTCCATTCCAAGGAATGGAAGGATTGGATTTTTTTTGAAATATTTAGTATAAGTTTGAAATTCAAAATTATTAATTAACCAAAATGTTGTACAGACTGCACTCCCGACCTAGGAAACCCTAGTTAAGTGCTCTCGTGGTCTTTGTATGATTATCATTTGTATGTGGATCGATATTCAAGGTGTGTAGACATGATTTCTATCCAAGGGCTATTCCTACCATTCATGATCCTGCTTTCCCGATCATCATTTGTAGTATACTTGCTCTAAAATTAGTTAGGAAGAGCATTCTTCATTGGAATTTCCCTAATTTAGGTTTTAGGTCTATTGGTGTAAAATGTGGATTCGGCTGGCTAGGCGAGTGCCTAGAACTCTAGACTCTAGGTGGCCGATACAATTTCTTTTTCTTTCCGCTCTTTTTTTTTTTCAGTGGAGGGGGGAAGGCACAAGGGGTTAGTGCCTTTTACTGGGGGTTTGGGTTGGATACCAAACACTTCATCTTTAATGATTTACAAAATCAAAACTTATGAAAAATCATATAACAAAAATCCAAATATTCTAATGATTGAAAAAGTTACTAACACCACACCAAATATTAAAAAGAAATCATCAAAAAATTGAAAAGGGGCAATAAGTATAGAAAAGTGATTTTATTGTCTCTTTTCAATTTTATGACAATGTTAGGACTAATAAAGTAAAAAGAAACCTAGTTACGTTTTAGTTTTATTGACATTATATTGAGTTACCCAATTTCAATAAAATGTCAAACCCTCTCTTTAATAGGGACCAAAAATCGATAATTAAACCTAAGGAAAAGGCACAATACCAATGATCTTAGGCAAAAAAGAGAAATCAAAATCCAATATGCAAAAGAAAACACCATTGAACTTAGAAGCAAAAATTGAAACGCACTAACCTTCGGAAACTCAATCAATGAATGCTCAAATTAAAGAGCTTTGGTTGCCGAAATGCCTCTTTTACCCCACTTCAATCTCACAAACCATCGGGTTGAGTACGTTTTAGTTCCACAAGAAATAAAAAAAATTCAAGAAATTGGAACTTGTAAATGTGTTTTTTCTTCAAAAAATCTCATATTTTTGGTTTTTGATCTTCTCTCTCTCTCTACAAAATAGGGAAATAGGGTTTTGGGGGCCCAGAATGCCCCATAGTTGTTGGGGTCGAGAGGAGGGGGATCGTTAAAGGCTAGAAAATTCCAATGGTTTGAAGCACTGTCTATACAACGCATATGTTATCGAGATCCCTAAATGTGACGGATCTTGATTTCGACTTTTGGGTATCCAGATATTGGGGATCTTGGTATGAACCTTGTGGGATCTAGCTACTCAACCTGAAAAGGAGTATATATATATATATATATATATATATATATATATATATATATACTACCACTACTTAGAGAAGAATACGATAGTAGTT